AAATCTGACTTCTAAAACTGCAATAAGAATTACCAAAAGGCCATGTATAAGGGTTCAAAGTAGAGTTAGAATAGTCATCAAGAATTATATTTATTTTAATCTGTTATATACAATATGAATATGTATCTTTCACTGCCTTAATAAACAATACATGTTTCCATATTTCTTCCTAGTGCAACAAATTTAGAACACAAGTTTAATTTTGGTCATATTGGCTGAATATAGTAGTCTATACATATATATATAGGGGTGTGTTTGAGCAAAGAGCTATATATATAAGGGCATCTCAAAATGATAGGTCATATACTCTTGATTTCCATGTCAAAAGAAGACACTTGCGTGAGTTAATCTATAATAGTGACATAACCTGTTTCAATCAAATTAGGGTGTATAGATCAACATTAATCTTTATGACATGTTAGATGGAATAGGTGGCCTTAAACCAACCAAGCACATGTTAGTTGATGTGCAAGTTGCAATCTTTCTTCAAATACTTGCTCATCACATTAAAAATAGAGTTATCTAATTTGAGTTTGGGTGATCTAGGGAAACCATTAGCTATTATTTCAATAGAGTACTTAAAACAATAATGCGTTTGCATGGAGAGCTGTTCAAAAAACCTAAACCAATCTCTAAATAGTTAAATGACCCTCGGTGGAAGTTGTTCAAGGTAAATTTGCAACTTCTATAATTTGATGTTCTATTTAGTTGCTATCAACTAATTTTTTTTCTTTCCAATTCAAAGTTGTCTAGGTGCTCTAGATGGGACATATATAAAGGTGAAAGTACTTGCCTAAATCAAGTCTAGGTACCAAAATAGAAAAGGTGATGTAACTACTAATGTACTTAGGGTTTACTCTCCCAAAGGCAAATTTATATATGTTTTGGTCGGATAGGAAGGATCAGTTGCTAATGGATGGGTTTTGAGAGATACAATCACTAGAGATAATGGTCTCAAAGTACCTCATGGTATGAATGTTAAACCTTTGTATTATTTCTTTATTTCTATAAGTATATAATATACCCTAAGCAATCTCCTTTATATAGAGAATTACTACTTGGTTGATGTGGGATACATTAATTGTGAAGGCTTCTTAGCCCCATATAGAGGCCAACAATGTCACTTGAGCAAGTGGAAAGAAGCACAACATCCTCAAAATCTACAAGAGTATTTTAATATGAGGCATTTAATAGTACAAAAAATCATTGAAAGGACTTTTGGAAAGTTGAAGATGAGATGGGCAATTCTAAGAAGTCTATCCTATTACCTTGTGAAGATCATAAATCAATACATCATTGCATGTTGTTTATTGCACAACCTAATTAGGTGCTACAACATGATGACCCTTTGGAGGCTAAGTTTGATGAAAGTAATGAGCAACCGATCCTCCTTATAGAATTCAATCCCATCACCTCTATGAAGACTTTAGATGCATGGAACATTTTTAGAAATAATATGGCTAATGAAATTTATAATGCATTTAGGGCTTATAGGCTGAATAGATGAGCTTATTATGACTAAAGTTTACTAGTATTTTGATTGTGTTTGCTTATGACTTGATCTTGGAGACTTGTGATGATTTGTATGACTAAATTTTTATTAACTTGTTGGACAATTATGTTAACTATTTTCTTCTTTACATTTTATATTTATATTATGATTTAATGTTGGAAATGGTTTATAGAATGGAACAAGTGAGTGGTTCTAAGAGCATCAAACATGTGTGGACTGCACATGAAACTAGCTTATTTGTGGAGTGTTTGGTTCAATAGAAAATTGATAGTAAATATGTGGCTAACAATGGCTTTACAAGTAAACATTTGATAAAGTTGTAGGAAATGATGGAGTAAAAGTCTCCTAATTGTGGTTTGAAGGCTGACCCTCATGTAATGTCAAGGTTGAAGACAATGAAAATTGCTTGGCAAACAATTGGTGACATAATTCATAGGGCCAACACTTATAGGTTTGGATGAATACATAAAAGTATGATTAATATTTAGCTATTGAAATGTTCTGTTTTTAATATTATGGCCTATTATTAATAATAATATGGTGTGTTATAGGTGAAAAAGAATGTAGCAAAGTTCCATGACAAGTTTTTACCCACTATGAGCAGTTCACATTTGTTTGGGAAAAGGATCATGCAACTAGGAAAACTTCACAATTAGCCATAGATGTTGTTGATAAAATTCATGAAATTCTTGAAGTTGAAGCTAACAATGTGCCTGAAGAAATTGTTGAAACTGACCCTTTAGTTGCAACATCTATTGAAGGCCAGCCAATGCCTAAAAAAAGGCATAGGAATGGCCATGATGCTGCTGAAATGATTGTTGCGGCCATAAAGACAGTTTCACAAGATTTAGATCATGCTATGATCCAGGTGTCTGACAATATTCACAGTAGGATTGTTTGATGACGAGATAGATAGGGCCTATGTTCAAATTGTGGAATCTGAGATGTTACTCATTGGCTTCCCTCTCATACCAAAAGAAAGGAAGGCTTCTTGGGTGAGAAGCTCAATTAATTAGATCAAAGATTTAAAGGCTTCTTGGTTGCACATTATACCTTTCCTATTGTTTTGTTATAGAGACAAGTAGCTTTAATTACTTATATTGCTAATAATTGTTGCATGAAATTTGCATCAGGAGTAGAGATACTGAATTCCTCCTAAACCTTGATATTTTATTACCTTGCTTCTTTGAAAACATGATATATGCAATTACTTAGATGATAATATTTGTTCCTCACATGTTTTTTGTTTTGATAATAGTTGTTGGTGTGACGATTATATTGGTCTGATAATGTTCCAAAGGTTGATATTATTGTTTTCTTTTTTTGTTTTGATGATGAGAGTTTATTTATTACTTTCTTGCAATTGGTTTTGTATAAAATAGCAATTTTATTGTTTAATATTCAAAAAAAAAAATTTGCTTCACATGATATCGAATACCAATAGTCAATTTTCTATTTTTTTAGTTGATTTTTCTTAAAAAAATTAAATTTATTAACTTTTTAGTTTTAATTGTATTTATTATTTTCTCTTTAGAATATTTTTAATCTTATAAAAAATATTTTTTTAAAAGAAGTTTTTGAATTTAGTTAAATTTTAAATTTGATTCCTTTTGTATGGTATTTTATATATCTTTCTTGATGCTTCTCTTATAAAGTAAAATTTAAATTTTAAAATAATTTAAATTTTTGTTAGGACCATTATGTGTGTGGGTATGAATTTAAGCTAAAATCCTTTAGAAAATTTTTTGAACGAAAAAGGAAAGAAGACAAATGCATTAATGCAAGAAAAAAAGTGATTGTTGTTGCCTTATCATGGTAAGGGTACTATAATCTTTTTGTTTTAATTTATATTTAAACAAATAATATAAATGAACTCTATTCTCACATAAGTATCTTACCAAATAAATTTATAGTTATAATCATTTCATTCCTTTCTATTTCTCATGATTTCATTCATTTACATCACCTTGTTTTCCACTAACGAAACGTGACTTTAGTCTCAGTGGGAAAGTTTTGGAGACAACATCTCTATAGTTTCAGGAAACTATATTCATAAGAGAGATTTAAGGAAAAATGGAACCTAGATCGCACCAATCAAGGTATTACTGAATCACTGTCTATCACTTCGGCCAATCCGCCTTCTCTGTCACTAGCTTCGATAGCTTCAGTCAAATAGCCTTCTCGATTGCTGGCTTCTAAATCATACCATTGGTCTTGGTTTTCCGAGACCCCTAAATCCAAAATCCCCATCGACGCTGTGACTTTCAAACGGTCTGGAGGTTTCGGCTTGACAAAAGCAAAAAGGAGAGTCTTGCGTTTTCAACTCTAAGATACCTTCGCAGAGACAGCTTCAAGCACAAGAGACGCGCAGGTGGGTTTGCTAAAGCAATGGCCATTCGGCTTGGGCATTCGGATGGAATATTGGCCACATCAAATGGGCCTCTTCTAGTAGCTGAGCCCATTAGAATTTTGTGTTCTCTAATGGAAGTTTTCCTCTTGATTTTTGGTGAAAGCATCTTGGGCCTATAGATTGGGCTACGTTTTAAACCCGTGACCTTGGACTTTGAGGATGAGCTACCTCCTTCATATGACTAGTTACCTTAGTTTTTTGACCCTTATGTAATATCCACCCTGCTTTTTCTGTTCAATGGCCTTGAAAAGAAAACCATTATTTACTTTTTCAAAATTAGTCCCTTCACCCACGACTAGTGCTTTTCCTGTCAAATTCAGCCTTAACAACTATCTGCTCAGCCAACGTATTGTCCTCCTTTCCTATACTAGGTTGTATGTTCTTGCCCCCCATGTTTTCCTCTTCCATGCTTGATAGGATATCAAATCTTGACTTCACAGGCATTTTTTGTTCTTTTTCTCCAATGCTACTCTGACCCTTATTTTGACCTTGTGGACTTCTATCCAGCCCATTTTTCAAGAATGTCCCCCTTTGTGGGGGGTACTTCACCAAATTCCCGGTCCCAATGATCTCTTCCATCAGATCTTCAGTCACGATCTTGAGAGTAGACGGAGTTTCTTGCGTTGGCTGCACCTCATCGGTCATCTGTGTGTCTTCCATAAATGATTCAGCAATATCACCTTATGATGAGGTTGCAGGTACCTTATTTTCACCGGTATCTGATGATGTTGTAGCATGGAGTAGAAGGCACTTCTCTTTCCTATGACCATATTGTCCACAATGGAAGCAAATCACATTCAACCCCTCATATGCCACCATAAAGATGTGTCTTCTAATAAATCTGGATTCTAATGTTTTTGTCAGATCAACTTCCACACTGATACAGGCACATCCTCCTCTTTCCAACACTGATACAGGTTGATCGTTGATTGCCTTTTCTTTTGCTTGGTCCCATGTGTGATTTGGTTTTTAAAATATAAGGTGTTATTCAAGCCCAAAGAAAAAATGCCAAAACTAAGAACTTAGAATTAGTTGCAACATTACTTAACTCCCCGTGGAGTAGCTAAAAAGGAAAAAGAAAAGGAAAAAGGAGGCTATCCCATTGGCCAAGAAAAAGAATTGCTTCCATAACAAAATCCCAAGGCTCAATTCAGAAATAATAGAAATTACAGAACCCCTAAAATACTTGAAACCAATGGCCTCGAGCAAAGCATGATGCAATTAAAAACAGAGCAGTTATGTTGTATGGATTCTCTCAATTTTAACTAGAAAAATGAACCATTTAGAACAAATTTTAGCCGTTCATTCAATTTGGACGTTTCCAAACTTGATTCTTCTTCAACAAATAACCATTTTGATAGATTCACACCATCCAAATCAACTCAATGACTATGATTTGATCAAAATGACCACATTTTTCTGCCTAAACTTGAGAGAATCCAAAGGTGATACAAGTTAAATTCAAGAGGAGCCACGTCTTCGATGGATCGATCCTCTTAGAATGCAAAGGCGGATGCGTCTGCTGAGAGCTTCCAATTTGTCAAATTTGTCAGTTTTAGGTGTTTTGGGGTCTTTACCTTCACCTTTCTTTTTCTTCTTCTCTGCCTTCTTCTTCTTCTTCTTCTTGTTCTCTGTCTCCTCCTCTTTCTTTTCCATCTCTTCATTTTCTTCAGTAAGATCTGAACATTTCTCTTTCATGCTTCGCAAAGGTGTAGCAAACACATCCACAATATTCTGGAAGTCAAAAAGCAGATGAAACCAAACTTGTCAATAGGTGAATTAGATATGACATGTAACATTTGAGTACAATTTTAAGTATGGTATCATAGCTTATACCAGTGTTAGATTCACATACTTGGAAAATAGACTTGAAAGATTTGGACTAGTGCATATATTTGTTGTTCCTCACAGAAAAGGATATCACAACACAATCATTATAATTGCATTTCACAGGTTTTCAAGGATAAGCTAATGGATCATTAAATGGATTCCACATGATATGACAAGTATAATAGCTACTATATTCACCATTTTACTGGGATAATCTGTATATTTTCTTTATCATCATAAGTGAATTTATGGATTTAAATTCAGCAAGTGTCCTCATTACACTTACTCAACGAGTGTCTCAATTATAATTGTTGAATTTTATCAATACTTACCAAGATATATTTCTCTCAAAAAATTCAAAACAATCAATACAAACAGAACACTCCTTACTTATGATGTCCCTTCTAAAAATTTGATATCTGATACTTTTTGACTATTATATGACAAAATTATTGACAACCATTTGATTAAATCAAACCATTGTTATCGTGCCATATGAGAGATTTATTGAGTGAGCGTACTTAAACCGCTCACCGGATTTAAATCCTGATTTTATATGTTGTCTAATGGGCCATCTTTTAAACAACTAATATGGTTTTAACTATGAATAAACAGTGAGATACAACTCCAACAAGAGTTATTTAATGTCCTCACATGAAGGGATCCCGGTTCATATCTGTGTAAGTATTAGAGAGCGAGAGAGAGAGAGACCTGAGAGCAATTATTGTCAGCACCAAAATCTGCATAAGATTCTTCATCACTACCTCCTAAAGATGAACACCTGCCCCAACTTTCTCTGTTTGAGCTAGTAAATGAGCAACATTCTTCGGTCAGGCCATTTAGCTTATCCTGTAAAACCATTAATAGCAAATTTCCGATGATGCAACATATTCAAATATGAACTCTCAATCGTACAGTTGAAAGTTCACAAGACGTCGTCAATGACATAAGAAACTATGTGTTTGGTATACAGAAAAGTTTTTTTAAAAAAGAAAATAAGAAATGTACCTAGGAAACGAGTGGCCGTTTTTCCCATTTCCTTCATATAGAACATTTTTCTACTTACCAAATATTGTATAATTTAATACAAATATGAAAGATTTCAGCGCAAAAGAACACCCATAAAAGTGTAATGAACCATAAATATCTTCATGCCCATAACTTGATCTCTTAGTAGTTGTGGCGAAGCACCATTTGGAGAAATAGAAAACACAGGTACTTTTAGATTCAAATTTTACCCATACCAGGTTCGAACAAAGCTGGCACTGGTACTCTTGCATGCTCAAAAACAAGTATCATGTAGTTCTTTTCTCTATAAGAAAATAATTAAATACGTATGATGTGAATTTTTTATCAATAGAGTTTGATATACATTAAGTTGCATGCACAGCTTTCATATCATACATTTCTCGAACCTTTAGCTTTTATAAAATCATAGGAACTTAGAGAATGTATTAAGATTCATGGAAGCGCCAGTGAAGAGGGTTGAATAGTCAATTTTCAATCCTTTGAAGAGGGGTAGAAGAAGACAAAAAAGAAGATCCCAAAAAGTTATCAAATGGGACCTATTGGTGAACAATATATCCGAGGATTTAGTTGTTAATAGAACACAATGGCAGTACACAATCAATATACCCAACCTCACCAAGTAAAATAAATCTTGTTATTGTATATACAGAGGGTTTTTCTTTCCATCATTGTAATTGACATATATCATAAAATATTTTCCATTTAGTAGTATATTTGCTGCATAACTTTACATATGGACAAAATTGCCTAATTCCATACCCATGCCTATATCAAGGATGAAAATAGTTTGGTACCTGTGCGACAATAGAATTGATGCATGTAGCATGTTTAATGCAGGGATGGCAATCAGAACCATTATTGTAACTGAAGCTACACATTATCTGATTCAAAGATGGTATTTGAGGGATCACCTGTACATGTGAAGGCTCATCTTGGCCAGCTTCATCATTGCCGTGCATAATGTCCTTGCAATACAAACTAGAAGTCAGCTTAATAGAAGAAAGTTGATGAATGACATGAACAAAAGGAAACAGGATATACTTCAACAGTTGTCTCTGTTGCAACTTCAGAAAGAAGTTGATTAACAGATTTTATGGTTGAAATGCATGGAGGAGCAGATGATGAACTTGCCACACCACTAGCAGTGGACCGCAAGGTAGAAATGATCTCATACAGTATGCTCTAGCAATCAAGCAAGGAAAAATTAATTTCAGTCATTGAAACATAATAATATCAAAATATAAAGCCAGAAGCGTAACAAAAAAGGGCATGATGAATGTTAGTCAAATCAGACAACCTGGAAACTAAGCTCAGAAGTCTGATGACCTCTAAGGTATGATGAATGATGATCTTTCCATGGGAAGGGGGAGGAGAGAAAGAGAGAAGGACATGGTAGGATAATTTTTGTAATTTATTATTGAGGTTATTCAAGTCAAAAAATTATCAATTTACTTTGACCTTTGCTTAAGTGGAGAGGCTTTAATTTCAAATTGCCATCCCAAAACAGAAAAATATATTCTAATGTGACTTAAAAGCAGCTTCATGTGTTGGCAAAACACAAAAGAAAGCTGAACAAAAAAAAAAATACTTTGTTAAAATAAGCAGATTGTTTCCTTCTTTAAATCCAGGCTAAACAGGCTATAAATTGTGTGCCTCCAATACATTTGCCACTCCTCTTAGTGAAGGTGGGACTGTTGAAGAAAGACTTGTGTTTATAAACTGGTTAATATTTGTCTTTATAGAAAAGGGAAAGAGAATTTATTGAAGAGAAGAGCAATATAAAAACCAAGGACAACAAGTCCTCGAAAAAAAAAGGGGGGTGGAGTAAAGAATTGAAGACTTGGTTAATATTTGATAATATGTGCACTTGAAGTTGAAGAGAATGGACTGAATCAACCAGCAACAACAGTCATATTGGATGTATACTTGGGGGGGAAAAAGACAGAATTCTCTATCAATAACAAAGTTGATGCATTCAGGCTTCCAAAAATTAAATGCAGGTTACCTTGTTGCCAACAGAACCAATGTTTAAATGCCCCAAATCATAATATTTCTCCAGTTCACGCTGAAGACTGGAAGCTTGAGGTGGGCAGAGAACTTTGCAGAAGAAACTGGACACTGAATCATAGAAGGACTGCGGTCGAGAGGAGTTGTGATCACCATTAAATTTAATTACATTTTTATCACCCTAAAAATACAAACTTGTTTAGATATTTGTTCAGAATCAAAGTGGGAAAAAGAACCAACTTCTTTAATGATATTACAAGGGTACAAAATAATACCGCATAGGATTTGAAGATAAGATCAGAATGCTGGGGCTTAATGAACTTGTCATCACAAGCATGTCCAATCAAAACAGGAATAGATGTCTTGGGTGCAACCTGCAAGTTTTAAACAATTTGATATGGAATATATAAAAGAAGAACATAATTCTACTCTATCGAAGGATTCATTCAGCCAGAAAATATATGAAATTCAGAGGGCATTTCTAAGCAAAAATATGGGCAAGTAACAAAGTTTCCATCATTGTTTTTACTATCTAAAAAGCAAGAGAAAATGAAAAGAAACTATGGAATTTACAAACCAGCAAACAGTTGAGGTCCATAATATCGAATTTTGCCTTCCTCTCAATCACCCGCCTCATGTACTGTACAGCCATTTTAACCTAACATCCAGGCAATATCAAGAAAATTACAAAATTCAATAAACAAAACAAGGAGAAAAAAATGTCCAGAAGACGGTAAAAGATTAAGGGCTGCAAGTCTAGATTCATATGGCTTAACAGACGAGCCAGTAAAGTATAAAAACCAGTATAAATGGGGTGAAACTCAATTTCACACATACCAAACAATAACACTGTAATAAGAGTACTTAAAAAAAAAAAAAATCAATATTAGCACGATTTGAACTACGATACTTCAAGGAATATCAAGTTCTGAGAAAAGAAATAGCTTATGAAGCAGCCATCCCAGTTCATTCAATCAGAATAGGGCATTAATTAAAGGTAGATCATATTAAAGATAAGGTAATAAATTAGGAAACCCATATGCTAAATAAAAAGCAAATGAACAACAATTGCTTACTCCCTCCCTTCCCTGGCACGTGATCTTGTCATCCTAGGATAAGAAATCATACACCTATAAACAAATGATTCTCAGGTGGGCCAAATTAGTCTATGAATAATAAGGACCTTCCTCAAGTCCATCAATTGGAGATAGCAGCTTCAATGCTAGTATATAAAGAACTTTCACCAGAGTTTATTACATGCTTCTAACATCCACATGGAGGGAAAACTAAGAAAAAAGCCTTAAAGATCACTTAAAAAGATTTAGTGAAATAGGTGAAGAAATGGTAAATGTAAAGTTGGGAGTCAAATATGCTTGGTGCTAGAAACCAGTAAAAGCGAATAAGATAATACATTCTAAAAAAGAACTAGAAACTCCAGCAGAGGCATCCAAAGCATACATTACAGCTGACTAATAATAGATGAAGTTATATCGATGAAAGTATTGAGCAAAACACAACTAAATCCATCTCAAAATTAATGATGTGCTAGCTGTGACAGATATCATATAATTCAGGTTCATAACAACACGTGGTATTTTTTAGGGACCATTCATGGTCCCTCTTTAAGCATTTGTCCCTCTTTAAGCATTTGCGAAAAGCCATAGACAGCACATACGTTAGGGCTTAAGGAAAGAGGGAGATTACAGTGAACTTTGGAAGGCGGATCTTATAGACATCCACAAGCTCCATCATAAGATCATATAAGTTTGAAAAGGCACTATCCAACACCATTCCAGAAATAGAATGGTCTTCAGCTCCATAAAGAAGGCTGCACCATGCCAAAGTAAATAGACAGTCGTATAAGAATTATCATTTATGACCTATGAGAGGCTCATAGATGCATACGGATATGTAAAGGAGTGGAGGAAAACTTTTATGCCCAGTATAAAGTTGAGTTCAAAATTAAAACCATTTTGAGCCATGAAAATGTGCTAAGTCACTTATCCTCTTTCATTTTTTCAATAAGAATGCCTCAAACTGTTTTGTCTGCATGAGCATGCGATCACAACATTTTAGCTATAACTGAAGTGAATAATTAGAAATAACCCACTGAATTCCTTTTTCTCTGGCACAAGAAGTGAATAAAATGCCAAAGTAGGAGAAACCTTTACAGAAACAAACAAAACAATAGTACAAATCAACTCAAATATGTAATACCTGGTAACAGCACCCATGGACCTTCCCCAGAGGCCTATATGTGATATTTGTTTGTTGCTTCTTAAATGTGACACCACTACCTTAAGATCATCTTTCTGTCACACAAAGGAAATGAGTAAATAAAATTCGATTAGCTTCATATAATTTTATGAACCAAAGAACACATACAACTTATTTGAACAATTCTAAAATTCAACCATGAACACATAAATGTATAAGAGCATCTCTTCCAGAAGCAAAGCGGGGAATGATAAAAAGAAAAGGCCTTATATTTATATTTATGAAAGTAGTGTATAGAAGCTAGATTAAACAGTTGAAGTAAAATAAAAAAAATTAGATGGGGGCATAAAGGGGCAACATACTTCATGCCAACCAAGGCTAACATAGTCCCCATCAGATAAGCCTGATCCAGAGAAATCAAGAGTAAAGACAGTAATATTTGATGGAAGAAGAATAACAGCAGCTTCATTGGCATCTGCCCTACATCCACTGCATCACAGTACATATGTACATACATCAAACACAAGAATGGAACGGTAATGCCATTATTAAAATAGTTACACAATATACATAAACACACACACACACACACACACACATGTGATCGCAGTAGCTGTGACTGTAACAATTGTTTATACCTGTTTCCATGGCAATATATGACACAAGGAAGAGAAGTATCTTCAGGGAAAGGTGAAGGGAGATAATGGCTACATTGTAAGGTATGTCCCCTAGAATTCTCAAGCTGCATGATAGAAAAATGGATAATCTAGCTGTAAATAAACAACTGGAATCATAAATAGATGCAACTTTATAGACAACTATCACAATATGAAACATCAGGCAAATGACGTCCGTACTTGCCTCCAAATCCTGTCTTTGATATGTTCTGCCTGCAAGAGAAAATTCCCTTTCCCATAGGTACTGATCTGGATTATATTCTGCCCTGCACAAGTACAAAGGCAAAAAACATTACATTAAGATATGAGATGATTTAAGAGAGATAAGCACAAGCTGAGCAAGAGTTGCAAGGACAGCTAGTTCCTTGTTTTAATTGAATCACAAAACCAAATTTCAGAAACAGCAGTATTTGACAGAGAGAGTGAAAGATGTCTAAAAAATGTCTTCCAAGATGGTCGAGACTTGAAACAAGTTCTGATTAACACCATCCAGAACAAAGAGAAATGCAGTCAAACTCTCATAACAAGAAACTTAAATTGTTTGAACTTCAAACACCTAACTCCTCTTTAAGGGACATTAGGAAGGAAATAGACGATGGCATTACAAGCAGGCCGTAACAAATATGATACCAATCAAGCAATTTTCGCTGCAATTAACTGAATTCAAGGTCTAGAGAGAACCTCCAAAAGGTAAAAAAATAATACCTGGGGGGACGAATAACAAAGTTGATAAATTGCTCAATCATCTTCCTTCTACATGTAGCTCAGAATAATTACGCCTCATGAGATTACTAAGGTGAGAGGAGTCTCTAAGAACATCAAACTCAATCCTTCACCATCTTCAAAAATATATGTTCTTCAAGAGCAGCACCTTAAGAATCCCAAATCCCCCCAATATAGGAAACAGTTTCTTCCAAATGATTTTCATTCAAAAATTAGAATGCTGGACATCAATAATTTCTGCACGAAACAACACCAACTGGCTAAGAAAAGGGAGATATGGAATACAAAAGCAGAAAAGGCACCACAGTGCAAAAAGATTTCTAGTTTACGAAGATGCTGGTCCCCAAGTAATCATATGAAAGAGAGGGGAAGATCCCAATAAGCAAAAGCATTCTCAGATCCAAATGCCCTCAAAAGTATACAAAACATTGCATCTTGAAAAACTAGAGAAAACCCACTGTAAGCAGAGGTATTTACCGAAACAGAAGCTTAATTTAAAGCTCCTGCACCATAATTGCAGCAACTTTCTCAAGGTTAATAATTTAAAACTTGGGCCCCTCTTGTGCGTCAATTCCATGAAGGGGGTCCCAAACACGCAAGAAAAAGAGTTAAAAATGGTAAAAGGTTTAGAAAGCGAAAATGCGGAGCAAACTGAAGAACCCAAATTCCAAGTCAGATCCCACAGCTAAACTCCCACATTGATTTGTATGTATGAGGTTGCCTTCTGGGTGTTGCGGTATAAGAAAGAAAAGGCCGGCAAAAGGGGAAAAAGAAAGGGAAAAAAAGGTCAGAACTTTACCGGAACAGAAAGAGCAGTTCGGTTGTCAGTGAGCTGACCAAAAGAAAGTAAAATGGTCCACTCGTGAAGAAGAAAAAAGATGATGAAGAGGAAGATAGAATTGGAAGATGCAAGGGGGAAATTATTTTTCTACTTCTTGTTCCGTTACTGGGAACGAGAATTCGGCTTTTGGGATGGAAATCGATGTGAGAGTGAGTGATGAAGACGAGTAGAGCTGAAGTAGCCAGCTGGAATTTTCTCTTTAAAGTCTCTCTCAAGTCTGTTTATGCCTCCTGAAAATATTTGTTTCTTTTCAACTCAGAAATATACAATTTTGTATCCTTTTGAAGTTTGTCTTTATGTTTGAAGCTAATTAGTACAGTAGAGACTAATGAATGTTTTCTTATACACATAAGTGTAATGAATGTTAAAAATTCAATTTTTAATTCGAAAAAGTAAAATACAATTAATTTCACTAAATAATTAGTTAAAGTGAGACCTTAAAAATGTCCAAAATGAGCATTGTTGTTCCAATCCTGCACATTTTATAAAAAAAAATAATTATTAAATTGTTATAGTTTTAATTTAATTATAATTTAATTTTTAAATTTTGATTTGTTATAACTCAATCATTAAAATTATGACTTAATTGTAACTTAATTTTTAAATTTCAACTCCTACAACTCAATTTTTATATTTTTAATCAATTAAATATTAGTTTTTATATTTTAAAAAATAAATATTAAAAGTTTAAAATGCTTGTAATCTTTACAATTTAAAATATAGAGATTAATATTTAAATTATTAAAATTATATAAATTAATTTATAAGAAGTAAAGTTTAAAAATTAAATTACAATTAAGTTAAAATTATAAAAATTAAGTTATAATAAATCAAAGTTCGAAATTAAATTATGACAAAATAAAAGTTATAAAGATCAAATGATTATTTTTTTTTATATTTTAGATTGATATATTGATTATTAGAGAAATTATCTGTGAACACTAAAGTAATTATTTTCTTACCAATTTAACTTCCATGTACACATTATTTGATGAATGTTTATTTTTCAAAAATAATCACCGAACATCAATAATTAACAATAGAGCCAAGACTTATATACATAAATTTATATACTTAATATATTTTTGTCTAATCAAATCAAGACATATTAAATTTAATATATTAATAATATAATAATAAAAATTTATTATAGAATAAAAGGCCAATTTATTTTAACTTATTTTTTAAAAAATTTATTTTATGAATTTTTATCATATTTGTTTGAAATTTTTAAAATAATTAGAATAAAAAATAACAGATTTATAATCTAATATGATAAATGAGAGAAAATATTTTTAAAAAGTGGGATATGCAAAAATATGATAAAATTTTAAAATTGTATCATAATAAATTATTTTTATAAATAGAAATTAAGAAATATATCATAAAAATTTAAAAATAAGTAATAACTATATCTAATAGTCACTTTTTATTATTGTAAATAAACATAGAATAATATCAATTTTTTTTACAAAATATCTATAAAATAAATTTTTTTATATAATTTTTAAATAATCTAAAAATTATTTATTTTTAATCCTAAACAAACCGGCCAAATAATCTATAAAAAATACATATATTTTAATTTAATTAAAAACAAGTAATTTAAGGACAAAAGATTAATTATATAAGTTTTTATTTTAACCATATTGTATAAATTAAGATAATGCTTTTGCGGAATGCGGCTATTTACAAACAAATTTAAATTAAAAAGAGAACAAAAGCAATTGGATAAGGGCCAATTATGATGCATGCCGTATCTCAAGCAACAAAATATAAACCCACTAGTTAATATTAGTAAATTTTTGCATTAAGTAATTCAGTACTGTTTTATTAATTCTAAATGAATTTAAATACATTTATTTCTAAAATTTATTTAATATTTAAAAATACTATTTAATTACGTGTAAAAAGTTAAACGTAATTATAAAATGTAAAGCGATATTAATGAACCAAAATAATAACGAACTTTTTGTAAGCATCAATTTAAATTTTAAATATTAAATTCAGAGTATCAGATAGAGTATGATTTTACCATCTTCAAAATAGAGTATGATTAACGTTTAATTTAAAGTCAAATTAATCATATCATACTTTCTCAAGGTAATCGCATCATTTTGACCATTTGAATACATAATTATTACATATATATCCAAAAACAACAATAAGTTATTCCTTTTTTTTTTGCCAGAACAACAATAATTTATTTAAAATTTAGGACCATGTCTCCAGTAGTGAATTCCCCCCGCCCAAAAAAAAACAAAGAAAAAGCAATAAGAAATGGCATGAGTTGATGCATGACTTCTGTCAATTGACCTCATTATAGTGAAAAAAAAAATGCCAAAAAAAAAATTCCGTCAAAAATTGAGTCTACAAACAAAAATTTGACCTCGTTAATTATAGTCATGTAGCACAAAAGTATAAATGCCTACAACTATGAGAATGAGATCAACACCCTTCAATAAAAATTGTTAATGTTAATTGCTCATCCCACTGCAAATTTTTTTAAATATTAATCCAAATTTAATCCCTAAAACTTTCCACGCATAATGTTTTATAGCATGGTAAGAAAAATGGCAACCTTTTAATTATCTAACTTTTCTTCATAGAATTTCCATGAGACTTGTACAAAGTCTTGAATTTTCTATGAAGTGGGTAATTTAAGCCAATTTAAATTAGTTTCAAAAAATTTAGGACCAGTTTTAATAAAATTATATTTTTTTAATGTTCAAGCTTATTTAGATTGGCTAAAATAGATTTAACAAAATCTGGGCCAAGCCCAATGGAGTTTGGGCTTCGCCCAAATACACAAAGACAAAAATTAGTTTTTCACAAAAATAATATATTAAATATTAATTAATCTTTTAAATTTTAGTTCATTTTATATTAAGAAACCATATATTTAAGTATATTATTATATATTTTTTAAAAAAATTAAAAATATTCACATTCTTATATTTTTACTCTATAAAATATCTCAAAAAATATTTAAATTATATTTTAGTCCTGGTTTTTAAACTTTAAGATCTGCAAATTTTAAAAAAAAAATGAGCATTCTACACTTTATAAGCATTCCAAAAACATATTTTACATTTTATTATAATATAAAAATGGTTAATTTTAAAAGTAAAAATTGAAGTTTTTTTAAAGATTTCAGCAATTCAAACCCGTCCAAATAAATCCGAATAGATTAGGATTGGGTTTGTCTCTTCAAACTTTTTTTATAGCCTAATCAAATAAGCCTAACCCATTTAAATTATTTACTCTACTTTTCTATTATTATTCTTCCGTTTAGATCCTCCATACAAAGCTGCTGACCTAAAGGATTTGTATTCCTCATTATTTTAAAAGGGACAAAAGTATATTCCCCCATCATACACTTCAATTAATTTTTCAAATATGCTTTTCTTGGTTCAACGAAATTAGTTATAGATGGTACAAGAATATGATATGTGAACTACTAAAAGATTCGAATACCATGCGTTAACCTTTTGGCTAGATTGTGTCACTAGAATAGAATCTCATATGTGACTTAAACAACCTACAAAAAGTAAACTGCCATCAATTTGGATGCTATTATACTGAAAACACTTAAGAAGAGCCACATCCACAGCTTTTTCCATATCAATGGAATTGTTGTTCGTGACAACATCATATGTGATGATAAAGAAAATTGAATTAAAAGTTTCTCTATATATCTTGAATATTATCCCAACAATGCGGCTTAGCTCTAAAAATTTTAAAAGGTCTCAACTTTTGTTAAAAACATTAAATTTTCTAAAATGAACATCTACTTTTATAAAAGCTATCATTTATTCAACACAATTTCACCAAAAAATACCCCCTATCAGCAATTATCAAAATTAGGAATTTTATTATGAGAGACTGTTCAATCAATCATTCACCCTCAATTATGTTCTGAGAAGTAAACAAATTGATATGCTTGCTCACCAGTTTTCTTACAACAACTTAGATATCATTGCATGATTTTGTTTCACCTTTTATGAGAGATTGTTCGATCAATCATTCACCTTCAATTATGAGGTGCAGAAACCTAGTAATTTCTAAAATCGCCTAATCTATTTTGTTTCATTGCATGATTTCTCCTTGGCCTTGTACTTAAAAAAAAAAAAAAACACTTAAGAGCATAACATCAAATAAATTGTGATAATAAAGGAAAGAAGACCATTAAAATCCCAGAAATGAACATTTAATTCCAAAGTTGAGTGTCCTCTTTCATGAAAATACATCTACAGTCATGAAATCATACAGTCAGAGAGAAGAACAAATCATATATGTCATGGAGTTCACATTTTATAACCACATTTCTTTTCCTTTTTTTTTTTTTTTTAAAATCTCTTTTGGAATGTCCCCATACTGTCAATTTCGCCAAGTAAGAAGATTTGCATTCCCCACTCATCCAAGGAGCGAGCAAAGCATGTGGAAAACATCACCATGGGCAAAATGTCGTCTCCTAGTAGTGTTGAATGTGTTGTTCTGGAAAATAGAAAATGGTAATGCTCGTTCCCAGCTTTTTCTATTAGGAGTATTAATTAATATTAGGCAATAGGGTTGTATGTATAAATTATTCTGTTATGTATCTGGATATCTTGAAAAGAAAGAAAAAACAGATTCATGTCCCCAAGAAAGTAATCTTTTACACAACTAATACCAAAATAGTGGCGCACCAATCAATTCCCTACCAGGTTGATTTAAATCAACCATTATGTAAATAGAAAATATGTATATCCTTTATTTCCTTCGGCCAAGTTGGACAATAAAAAGTGAAAAAAAAAACCGGTTTTTTTTTTTTCCTTGAGAGGGGGCAGTGAGAGAGAGAGAGAGAGAGAGAGAGAGAGAGAGTAAAAGTGCACATAACTTGTATCTCTGACACAGACCATAGAGCAAGGCTTGCAGAAGCATAATTTTGCACTTGTAAAGAGTGAAGCTACAAGTTCAACGAGCAAGCAACCACTGAGCAGCACATGAAGGCATCATAAATGCATCATCCTGGATCTCCATGGGCACAAATCATTAGCTACAAAATTACACAGGTCTAATGAATGAATGTCCAAGCTTCATTTTCCAACTTCGTTCCAGCTTGTATGCATTTCTAAGTTTGATTTCTGTGCACCTTACCTTACCTGAGGCTTTTTGGTTCCTTGAAAGTAGTTCAAAAAGCTTTCCACTTTCTATAACCACCCCTACCTTCAATCCCACCCCACCCACCATGGGCCCCACTTTAACTTCTCTCTTTTTTATGAGCCAGCACGCCGAAATTCTTAATCACCTAGCTACTCGGTTTTACTACACCCTGGAGCTTCCACCTACCAAATCCTGCTGAAGCAAAGGCCTGTTGATGAAATGTTAGATAGGAATCATGTTTGAGACACCAGAAATAATGAAATAAATACAAAAACTGCAAGAAAGATTAATGAATACTTCCCCTTTTTGTAGCTAATATCAGTTGCTCCAAGCATAGGCAATAATATAAAAACTATCACACTTCAGCATGACATATTTATTTATGCATGTATGTCATAGAATCCTAATTTGTAAACATGCACACAATCCACCTCCATAGTCCAGTCAAAGACAAGCCAAGCCAATCCATCTACATCGGGACTACTAGGACTAAAGGATCTACGAGGAAGTTTCTTCTAGCCTAGTCCCAAGAAATTGAAATGACTGGGATTTATATGGCATCTTACCATACATCACATGCTCACCTCAACCACCAGGCCAACCCCTGTTCCAAACCACTTTTACTACTCATGCTTATGCACATATGAAGTACTATTTCATCAATAAATGAGGACAACCTGTAACCAGACTTTATCAAACCGGATTTTAAGGCACCTTGTTGCATAAACTAGTTAAGCACTAATGGAAGTACTCGCCCATGGATAATAGTACAGAATAGGCACGCAGGCCAAGAATTAAAGCGAGAATGAACTGCAGCATTATCACTTTTTCTGGATGAGTGTTCAACAGGGATAAACACAAGCAAGTTGACTCCTTGAGTCTCTTTAAAATTAATTTTTCTATGAAAGTCAGGTACTAGATGGGTGGTTGAAATGAAAGTGAAAATTTGTTATTGGACCATATCACACAGGGAAGTTTCACTTTGATTACCTTGCCTTATCTAGTTAGCCCTATGCAACTAAGTTCATTGCAGGGATAAATGGTTTTTGATGTTTATGGCAAGGTATCAATGCTTCGTTAACAAAAAAATTTTAAGATCTAGAGTCAAAATTTTGGATAAGATTGATGCCTTAGGAGATTTTAGTAATCATTATGTTCCTTCTAAGTGTTGAGCGTAACCTCTTAGTGAACAATATTCCTAAAAGTCTAGTTAATGATAGAACATAATGACATTATTCAATTCATGTAATTAATCCCATCTAATGAGATAAGGGTTCTTGTTGTTATTGTTGGATGTGTGGTTATACAAGAAAGATAAAATCTCTATCTGTAATGATCATATAATTGGACAAGTTAGCATGGCATCTATTGAGAAGAAAATTGTATACAATCATTTAAGATGGTTTGTTCATATGCGAAGAAGGCCATCAAAGGCGCAAGTAAGGAGGGCTGAGCAGATAATCTTTAGCCCTAAGGGGAGAGGTAAAGGGAGACCACGAAGAACACTCAAGTAAATCATAATCAAGATTTCCTAGTAAATGGTTTATCGGAAGAGGTAATTTCGTAGCTGACCCTACTTGGCGAGATAAGGCTGCTATTATTATTGTTGTAGGGTTGAAGTTCTAGAGTAACAGAGCTTCAAACATAAAGATATAATCCTCTATACTTGAAGCTTATAGAATTGTTTTGCACCAAATTTGTTTTAAAATGTGGCTTATCAACTTATCCACATAGTAGTTCTAATATTCACACAGCAAGGGAGGTGAATTTTAATCACAAGACTAAAAGGTGATCTCTAAACACACCTTAACAACTAACTCAAACAATTTAGCAACTAAGAACAAAATTTATAACATGTTGACAAATCAAAGCTTCCATATACTAACTCCACAACTATACTCAAAATTAAAAAACTAGCTCTATGCATTTAAAATATAGAAATGTTGGTAGCAGGTGAATTAGAAATGTTCTGTTGATGCAAAATTCCGCACTGATTTTTATTGACTACAAGATGTCCCTTAATTCTAGACCAGAAAACATCTACTTTTATTATATAGTTACCGTTGTTGAAGAGCTGTTTCAGTGTTCAGCTTCTGAAGCAGATACTTAACCAGATGTTAATGTGATATCATTGACACAACATTTAACGTACACAAAGGCTACAGCTACTGAAGTTCCAACCAGAGAATATAAGCTCCAAAAGAGCATCATTTCATCATCTATCATGAAATTTATAACTGCCTACTGCCACCTAGTTCTCACCATCACCCAATAAGACAAGCCCATTATGACCTCTGATTACCTTATTAAAAAAACCTAGCATTAATTAATAAAAATATAAAAATAATTAAATACACACACAAACACTAACTAAACTTGAGATGCATCACTTGTTAGTTAATTATCATGTACAAGGATAATCCCCTTTAGTTACATGCTCTATAAACTAAACATTGTATATTAGAATTGAAATATCATTAATAAATAAGTAAATAACAGATAATTATGATTATATACAGTTATTTAATCCCAGAAGAAAACATCACTATCTGCCGCTTTGTAAATAATATAACCTAACCTCATTCCAAGATTTCCCAGTAGCCTCAAGCAGTGCAGCATTGCATGTCTTTAATTCTACAGAAGAACCAGAGAACATTGAGGCCGCCTCTTCCCATCCCCTGTTATGTCCCATACACCTGCCAAATACCCAATGATAAATATATATATATATATATAACTATCAAATGCAATTTTTCGTATCAGAATGAATTTAAAGATATTAGCTTTGCAATAAAAAATTAAAAAACAAAATAGACTAGCGTCAGAGAAGTTTGGATGAATTGAGCTTTCTAGGAAAGAAACTTTGTGTTTCATTTAGAAACAAGGCTAAGATGTCAATCATCTAATTAGGATGAGAAAACAGACCACATTTAATTACCACCAAAGGTTCATATTGAGTTCAATCCTGTATTGAAAAAGATGAAAGTAACATCTCATATAGACGTTTCAAGTGCCATGAAACCAAGTGCAGTGTCCATAAGGAAATAAAATGTTTAACTCCATTGACTGTTAACATCAACGTATGATTTATCAATCACAATAATTATAAGATACATGTGATATAATCTCAATCATTTGACGCTTTGATTACAGCCCTATCATTTTTTGTGTCCATGGTTTATCCACATACTGCAAGGCTGAAAAAGAAAAGAAAAAACTGAGACATCTTTCTTGCTTAGCCGTAATTGTCAATCTCCAGTCTCCGCGTTCCAGAAAAGAAAATAATTTCAAACCCACTCTGAAAAGGTTGCATGGTTAAAGATACTCACATTATAGTAAGTATTTCATCCCTTGAATATTTACAAATAACCTTTTGAAGGTGCTCTGCCGTTTGTCCATCCATGGCTGCAATTGAATAAAAACTAGAAACAAAATGAACTTCAGCTTCTAACAATTCACGCACTTGTTCTTGCATTATCTTGAGGGTCTCCTTAGTTCGTGCTGCATCACTGCACCAAAGAATTTGATAGAGTTTCAAAGACGAGCTACAACAAGCAAGTTCTTTATAGTTGCTTCCAGTAACAGTCAAAGAACCACTGCCATAAAATTCCTAACCTAGACAAGATAAGTTCGGGAATCCAACCCAATTGTTGGAGTTTGTGAGAAACTTTCAGGGCATCCACCTGCCCAGATTTACTCAGAGGCCGGTCATGATCTGTATAAAGTAGATTTTCTATTTAGAAGCAACACATCATACTTTCAAAATTTTGAAATGGGTAGGTGTCAGGCCTAGGCACCAAAGTAAAACATTCACACGCATACTGAAGTTTGAGACTTTATGCTTAGCAAAGCTCAAAAGTGGGAAAACACAAACTTACGATTTGTGCAAACTTAGAAGCAGAACATTTGGGTTTCCAATTCTATAATGGAATTGTTCCACGACATTGAGCACCCTAACAAAATGCCCATAGCGGTGCCATGGTACGAGAATTTAAGCTCAACAAATCCAAAACATGGGACAACAAATAAAAGAAATTCTTGCTTGTTCCACTAGAAAGCATAATTTTTTGCTTCTAATCCTAAAATGGGAATGTTCACACTTCCCAAACAAGTCCCTAAAAAGCACTAATTCTGACAGATGTATGACTTGATACAGAAACCGATGCATGCACAAGAGGTGATGTTTAAATGCAGTTCGAATGATCATTTGTCTGGCGTTGGTTACTATAGTATGAGACTTCAAGTTTGGAAAGCCCCAAAACTCGGAAAGGAAACGCATAGCTGAAATTTTTACTAGTTTCACTTGAAAGCAAAACGATTTGCCCCCAATCCTGAAATGAAGAGTGCTCCAGCCACCTAGAGTTAAGCATTAAAGAAGCTCCACACATACATGGTACAGTAATGCAGTTTCAACTGTCAAGTCTTGGATATGTATCAAATTCCATAAGGCTAGGGTTTGAAGCATAGGAGCTTCATAACCAAGCACCATAACAAAAGTCCATTTCCGAACGCAAAATTTCGGGAACTGTAGGTTCAGCAAAATTCTTAGAAAAGGAACAAAGCGAAAACTCCCTAACAATTTTAATCGTTTCCCATTAGTAAATACCCCGGAGCGATCGATTTTCCCAGGAACTCTCAGCATGTCGAAGCAGAATGAGGCGGCGGGTAACGGACTCCGACAAGGTCTGAGATGGAGATTTCCGGTCGGAGACAACTTGGCCGTCCTGTTTCTCAATAATCAGAGAGGATTTGGCGCGAAAACGGTGGCTAGGGTTCCGAACGCTGATTAAACGACGCTGATGATGAGGACAAATGGTTGGTGAAATCGAGGAGCTGTAAATACAGGAATAATGTATATCACTCAGCGCCACATTCATACTGCTTATCTTCAATCACCGTCTCAGAGTCTTGAACCTGGAGTTCTGATGATTATCTACGTTTTTGCTGTGTCTGTTTGTGGTGCGTACCGTGGAGGAAGAAAAACCTATCTGTCTTGTAACTCTTCTTTCGGCGTTGCGTTGCGTATATGCCATTCCATTAGCTTCCAGATCACAGAGGAGAGGATCGTCGGCCCAAACGTGGACATTTTATTAAAATTTTATCTACATGATAGTAAATTTTCTGCCGTAACTGGAGACCAATTATTCTCTAATTAATTGCTTGTTTTGTCACTGTTTGTGGTTGGAAGACCAATGAGGCTGTGAATTCTTCACGTAAATTGACAATTCCACTCCAAAGCATACACTAAACTATACACTAGAGGAGGAGCAAGAAGCGAGATGGTTGTTCCTGTGCCGTTCGTTTTCATTGTATTCGGGCTACGGCTGTATGAAAGTCTTCCGGTTCAGTTCAATTCAATCTAATTTGAGATGATTTCATCCGATCTTATTCTTATAAGCACAAAAGACTAAAAAGATCAAATTATTTCTTTAAATTGAATTAGACAGGAAATTAGATATCTGGATCATTTGATTTAGTTTAATTTTATTAATTTATTTAATATAATTATAATTTATTTATTTTTAACAAATGCTTCTAGTGTAATTGATATTAAGGAGATAATTGTATGAAAATTTATTAAATTTATTTTTTAAATTATTGTTGTAATGTAGTGTTGTTGAAGTTTGTTGAACATTGTTTTTTTAAATTTATAAATTTAAATCATTTGAATTGTAATTAAAATATTTCTTTTTTATTGTTAAAAATTATTTTGAATTTATTATAATTATAAGTGATTTTATTATTTTAATTGAGTTTATTAGATTGAAATGAATTATTACCTATCATAAAAAAAATAAAAAAAATTAACTAAGTGAGTACCGAACTAACAGAACCAATCTCTTAATATTATGAACCAAGTTCGATTCTATTAATTTTTGAGTTATTATTGAATAAAATCGGATCACAAGTTACCTAACTTAATTTTTTCATAAAAAAAAACTAAATTTTAAATTAGATTAAAATTCAACGCCGTTCAATCATTTATGCAGCGCTTATTGTATCTATGCGGTAGACTCACTGATTAGTTGTTTCTCTAAGCATTGTCATCGAGAAGCGTCCGTTTTTTTTTGCCCCCCTGCTTTTTGGGGCCAACATTGAGTAGCTTTCTTCACTACAAATACTTTTTTCTTTTCATAATAGTAATGAAAGCTTGAAAGTTCTGAACTAGCTACTTTTTTTTTCTTTTGCTCGAAATATTTTAAATCTTTGATTCAGATTAATCCACTCAATAGTTGTGAGCACTTTTTTAATAGAGAAAATGATGATAAATTTTTTTTAAATTATATAAATGGTAATCTAATCTCTCAAAATGCTATAATTTTACTAAAGTGTCAAAAGACTTCTATATCAATAAATTTTAAATTAAAAAGACAATTTTACTCTGATCAACATGCTTTGATTTCTTCTTTAATTCTCATAATTTTTTAATAAAAGTTGTTATTTTTTAAACAAAAGTTGTGATTGGGGTTTGTTAGTTTGAAAACTTATTTTTCAATAATAAAAATTATATTTAACAAGTTGTAATTTTTTATTCAATTATTGTGTTTCACAAAAAAAAAAAACATTTTTAAACAAAAGTTACAATTGAGACTTATTTTTCAATAATAAAAATTACACTTAACAAATTATAATTTCTTGTTCAACTTTTACGATTTACAGAACAAAAATTGTAATTAAAGCTTATTATTCTTAATAAGAGTGAAATGATTTTTTTACTTTAAAATTTATTGACACAAACATTTTTAAAAACTTCAATGAAATTATGACATTCTAAGAAATAAAATTGTCATTTAAGGGATTTTATTATATTTTTCCTTTTTAATACTTTGTTTTTCGGCCAAAGCATAAGTCTCACTAAAAATTTGAGCAGTTGGAACCTGGGACCTCTTTAGCCCGTTGATTCATACCAAAATGGGTAAATTGTAAAATGTTAACTTGTACCATGCATTGTTCTCTAATAAATTTGGTTAATAAATTAGTACAAATTTGCTCCAGTTTATCTTCTATAAACAATATCCAATTTGAACCCCCAATTCGTCTTCACTTTTCTTATTAATCGGCATGTGAAATGGAGTTATATGCAATAACAAACAGGAGCGTGACACATTAACTATGAAAATTTATAAACTGTCATATTAATAATTTTTTTCGTTGATTTATTGGTAAATTAAAAATGATTATGACAATAGTATCATTGAATGTCTCAAAACAAAGAGAGAGCATTTTCCTCCACGTTTTAACAATGAAATGATATACATGAGGAAGAAAAACATATAGAAATTGCAATGGCATTCATCGCCCATAGGGGCAATTCTCTTCAAAGTAGACTTTTTTTTTTTCCTTCTTTTTTTTTGGGTAGCGGGAAAAACCCAGCAAATATGAAGATCGATAAACTGTAAAAGTTCCTCAGATGTTTGTAATTATTAAATCCTATAACTTTGTTTTTTCAGAAACACTCAATCATGTGTTCACTTGTTATAGAGAGTTTGATAATAATTACTTTCAAAACTGTACGTACGTAGATTTTCTCATCACCATGCTCTGTAGATGTTCTAAAAGAAAGAAATGGAGTCGTAGACCTGCAACTATGGACCATCATTTTCTTCTGGACTTTCCATGATTTGTTTCAGAATGTTTTCTTCCTCTGCTTCAAGATTCTGCATGCTCTGTTCTAATTCAGACACCAACTCTGGACTGAAGATAGAAGAACTATCCTCTCTGGATTCACATTCCTTCTTACCAGCAGCCATTAAAGAAGAATAGCTTCCAAATTTTGGGGTGACATAAGATCCAGGAGAATAGATACTACCAAGAGGATGAATCCATTCTCTAAGACTAGCAATGACTGGAACTTCAAAATTACTTGATGATGGCACTCTCAGTGATTCTAGCCTCTTTGCAATAGCCTTTCTCTTATTTCCCTTCTCAATGTACATATCATCATCTTTCTCACTTGGAACTACTGTCTTATTAACTTGTATTATATCTGAACTGTTATTATCTTTGATGGCAGAATCTTTATCCTCAGTATGATCATTAGTTGTGCTGGATGAAACAGACTCAGAAACCAGAAGGTCCATGGTGGTTCCTGAAGAACAAGTATCGTCTTTATTATTATCAGTAAACCTGAGGGACTTGGACAACAATAGTTTTCTAACCAAATCATCGTATTCCTCCACTGTGTGAAAACTCCTGCTTCTGGAGTTCAAGTCATACTTATTTCCTTCAATTAATTCAGATCTTTCAGCTTTAGAGATGAATCCAGCACTGCTGAGCCAAAGCTCATTGGCCAACTCATACATTTTCTTAACCCCAGATGAATTTTCCTGAGCAAGAGAGGACAGAACATGCTCTGGGAGAATCAGATGACAGCTTTTAGATCTCCCATCACTTTGAACATCACTAACAATTTTCTGTTTGTTCCCTTCCTGTTCGTCTTCTTCTGGACTCAAGGACGTGTCCAACTTGTCAGTGGCTTCAGAACTGTCATGAGTAGCCAGTTTTGAGGGAGCATTTGAACCAAAACTCCTAGAATGCAATACCAGTTCAAAGTACTGGTCGCAGCTACTATGAGCAGAATTGATTATATCTTCCAGCAATGGAATGCCACTATTAGATTTGGTTCTCTGCGTCCCCTGGTTTCTCTCTTCATGTAAACTCAATGATCTGGCTATAACTTTGGAAGAAATGCATCCCATGGCAGGCAAGAAACTGAAGGCACACCTGAAATGGTTGTGTTGTAACAAATTCATCAACCATAGGGTACATAGTTGTCTTTTAATGCAAGTAATTAGGATTAGTTGTATTTTAGTTCAACAGGCAATAGGGTTAGATCATTTTGAATGAATCATCACTATGTTCCGGAGTTTTTCCCTCATTTTCCATCACCAGATCGTCCAAGTGTGTGTGAGAATGATCTTAGAAAACATCAATCGGTGTGAGTTATTTTTGGGTAAGAAGATAAATCTCTAGAAGACACAGAACATATCAAACACTGAAAAGGCAAAAGAAGCAATCAAAAGTGATTCATACACAAGAAATTCAGGAGGGTAATTCTTACCAACACCTGGTGTGCACTGTGCAGCCTCAAAAGTCTATATCTGCAGATAATACAGAACTGAAATCTCAGAGTTTCTTAATCCCCAGAAACACAACAGAAGAAAGGAACACTTTCACTTTTTAGCCATACCCAGAAAGCAAAATCCAGAGTTATTACACTTTGAGGTATCCAATCCAAAAGTAGTGGATCATTTGACAGCTGAAAGTGACAAGGTTTATGATGATAAGAACAGAACAGCCAGCACTGTGTCCTCAGACCTCGGCTCAGTAAAATAAGGTGTTGATGGAACCATAGAAACATAATTTAGATTTAGGATGGTGGCACATGGCTCGATGAAAGAACCTGAAAATGCTTCCGGGTTTTCCGGGAAAATATGATAATGCAGAAGATGGGCATGGAAAGAGTGAGAATAGAGTAATGAAGTTGAAACCCGGCAGCGCGTACAAGTGATTTTGAGATTTTAATTTGGTGAAGATGGAAGCTTGGGAAGAGGAAAGAGTCAGCATTGGAGGAGGGTGATGTGAATGCAAAGACATGCTATTATGTAAATATGATTTGTTTAAGCAATATGTTGGTGACTGACAAGCTGGCTGACCCCAGCATGGGTTGAAGGTTCAATCTTTGACAATACTCACCAAAATCCCTATTAAATTATTCACATGTCTCTCTCCAGGTAAGAATTGTGTTGAAAAATTTTAAAAATTAGGTGGAGTATGAGGATGAGCCCATTTTTTTTTTTCAACAAATAATGCAACTTTTTGTCAATCTTATATTTTTATATTTAATGATATTGATTATATTTTTAAAAAAATCATTTAAAATTTATGAAGCTTATAAGAATATCAATACTTGATTTTTAAAAAATTATAATTTTTAATTATTTTTATAAAAATAATAATAATTTTAGTCATTATAGATAATCACATTTTAGAAAAATTAAATTAAATATGTCAAAATTTGGAGAAATTCTTACAACTCCATTGTCTCTCCTCATTTTTATTAATGATAAAATAAATTCATATTTATAACTATTTAACATGACATGTTTTTATTGGTCCTTGCAATAATTTCTCCCAAAATTTGAGCTTTTAGATATGATTTTTCTTTTTTAGTGCGTAATACGTAAATGTAGATAATTGATAGTTCCTCTAGCCAATAAAAGACTTATGTTGAAATTTTTTTAAAAACAAGCCCTTTTTTCAACAAATAATGTAACTTTTTAAAATTTTTATATTTATGCGTGTGTGTTAATGATATTGATATCATCCCTTTGTTTAAAAATATAAAACGTTTTAAACTAAATCTCACTTGAATAAAAGTAGTTATTTATTTTTAAACTAGCCATATATTTTCATATTTATCATTATTTAATAGGGCGTTCTACCCTAAAATAAATATAAAATGATTTATCCAATATAAATACTCTTGAAAAAAAGTAATAATTATACTTTAAAAGATTAAAAATGTCTTACATTTTTTTAATATCCAACCCCTCAAAAAATACTTTATATTTTTTAATAGAGGGAGTATAATTTTTTAAAAATATATTGTCATTAAAATTTAGCAAATTTACCATTGAGTTTTAAGAATATTAATACTTGATTTTTAAACAATTATAATTTTAAGCATTTTTATAAATAATAATAATAATAGTTTTAGTTATTATAAATAATCAAATTATAAAAAAAATTAAATTAAATATTTCAAAATTTGAGCGTTTAGTTTTTTTTTCCCTTTTTTAGCTTAATATGTCAATGTGTATAATTAAACACTCACATCCTGCACTGTGTTAGATCTTTTCTATTCTATTGTGGGAGCACAACAAAAGTTTCCTATCCTATAATTATTAGTGGTAGACGTGTTCAAAACTAATTTAAATCAATTACGTCAAACTAAACTGATATAAACTGATCAAAACTGATCATAAATGAAGTTTGATTTTTTTTTGACAAAATTAATTGATTCAATTTGATTCAGATTTTTGCTTTTAAAAATTTAAATTAAACCGAATCAAGTCTTATTATATTTATTATATATATATTTTTTTTATAAATTTATCAAAGTTTTTTCCCTTTTTTAAGTTTAGTTATTTGTAAATCATTAGTAAAAATAAGTTGTAATTCGCTAAATGTTATTTATGATTGTTTGAGATAATTTTCTAATTTTATAATCAATTTTTTAATGATAATACATTGATTTTTAATAGTTAAATATGCTAATTAATTATTAAAAATATTTTTTATGCTCAAGAGATTTTTCATTGCAAATAATAATTAATAGTTAAAAATTATCAGTAAACATGGATATTTATTGGTGATTATGAAGAATATCTCATTAAAAAAGTTCAAACTTGATCCAGACCAAAGCTAAATCGAACCAAACTGTTGAAAAACTAAACCAAATCAATTAGAGGAAAAAATTAAATAGGCTTCAAATTATAGTAAACCGATTCATTTGATTCGGTCTAGTTTTTCTTCAAAACTAAATCGAATTGAACTTATGAACACCCTTGATTGTTGGGCACATGGAAGATGTTATCTTGAATGAGCAAAATCTTGCTCGCCTATTCCCTTTCTTGAACCTTGTTTCTTTGCTGTTTTTTGAAGGACACTTTTTTTTAGTGCAAGGCCACGGTAAAAACTGTGCAAAAAGACTAAAATCTAATCATATCAGAAGCCATGAGGCTTATACAATCTAGAAGCGTGTAACATTTGAAAAATTTTAGTCATGAATTATTAACTTAATTAGGGTAGTTAGTGAGTTAATGAGGTGTGTGGTCAGAGGGGCTTAACTTGACATAATTGTTGTGATTTCAGCCCTAAAAGTGAGTCTAGATAGATGGCGGGCCACTCAGGTAAGGAAAGAGGATGAAAAAGTAAAGAGTTGTGTTCTGTGTCACACACCGCGGTGCGTGGTTATTCCATTACGATGCACGGACACAATTTAAATATAACGAGCTCCTTTATGCCATGCGCCACGGCGGAGGGCAGCATGCGCCGCAGCGCATGGCCAAAAATTTAATAAATCTGATTCATGAGTTGCGTGAAAACAGAAGAGAAAGAGAGGAGGAAAATAAAGAGCTTGGTTTTGGCTCTGTTAGGGCACGATATTTGGCCCTATTGATGATAGATTGAAGCTCCCAAACAAGCAAGGTAAGATTGTGGTGCTTCCTTCTTCCCTTCCCTCTATCATTTATGATTATTTATGGTAAATTTTGAGTTGGGAGATGGATTTTTGGTCTATAAGAGTATGAGTCCAATTTCATTGGTTAAAATGAGATTAATGGGAGTGATTTAATGTATTGGAACACCACATTGATAATTTTGAAAGTGGTTAGTCCATAAGAGTATTTAATATCTAAAAATTGGTATCTATGAGGTTATTGAGAGAGGTTAATGTGCATTAATAATGGTTTAAGGTGATATTAATGATAATGTGCATTAGTGAAATTTAATGAGCCTATTGGGTATGAATGGGTAGTGGTTATGAGTTGGTAAAATAGTGTATGAGGAGTTTTTATATTGATAAAACTTGAAGAGCTAGATGATAATAGTGTCCTTATGATTTGGTTGTAGAGAGGTTCGTCTTGGCACCTTTCGAGCTTGTGAAAGCTTGGGGAAGTTGCTATAGTGAAGGGTAAACCTTTGACCTCTCAAAGGTTTGAGGTAACTGGGGGCAACTTAATTTTTATAGTTAAATGTTAATTGTGTTGTAAAATGTGATTTGTGTGTTAATTTGATGATGCATATTGGCAAATTCTTGAGTATGAAATGGTTTTGAGAAAGAAAAACCTTGATTATTCCACCCTTAATGTTTTATGAAATTAATTGTGATTTATCACTATGGATAAAGAATTGTGATGAATTATGTGTTAAAATGTGGAGTATACATATTATGTGAGTTCATGTGTTGTGTAATGAATGTTGAAATGCATAAAATGTGTGAAATGTGTATGGCATGATCATTGGCGGGAGTTCACCTAGGGAGAAGAGTAGTTTGATTGGAAATCCACGTGGCATTGGTAGTGATTGTTAGAATCAGGAATTAGCCTTGGCATTGACCGTTCGAATCGAGAGATAGCCTTGGTCCCATGGTTGATTTGAGACTGTCCCACTTGTTCTATAAGGAACTCGAACCTAACTAGTCTTCACTGATTCATGAGGAGGCTAGATTAAGGGTACGAAACCCTATGATTGTTAGTATTGGGAAAAACCGAATTACATAAGTGAGTGTGTTAACCTTGGCCCAATAACTCCTCACAAGTGGAAGGCTGGGTTATTCCATGAAGGACGTAGCCACGTGATAGCCATTGGTTTTGTGTTGGAGGTAACAAAAGGATATAAAGTTGGCACATAATCATGCATATAAGTCTGGCCACATGATTGATAGTATTATGGTCCGGCACGTGTTAAGGGCGCATGGTTGTTATTTTTGTGACCCTGAGTCATGTTTTAAAAAACAACATGATATAGTGTTTTGTGGTAAGCCCAGTCACATGGTTGTTAGTTTTGTGAACCGTGGCCTAATACTATGTGGTATATGTGTTATGTGTCTTTTTGCATCTATTTATAATTAATATGTAACTGTAAGGGTTAAGTGAAACTTAGTTACTGAATGGTTATACTCACCCCTCAATTCTCAATATTTTCAAGGACTAGCTCATCGGATCCAAGTCAGGAAAAACACACAGAGACTTAAGATGTATGGAGTGAATCCTCTTTATGTCTCTCTTTAGTTGTTTACATGTGTAATTGTTAATGTATTTGCTAACTAGGAATAATTGTCATGATTGATGCATTACTTGCATAATTTTGTATTTCAACTAGTGCATTTTGTGCTCTGAGTTAGTGAGTTTTCGTTGTGAGCCCATAGATAGAGCCAAAATACTTGTACAAGTAGGAATATATGTATTTTTTATAAATATGAATGAAATGATTGGTTTTATGCAATTTTTCCTCCCCCTCTATGTTTTGTGAAAATTGGGGTTGAGAGGTGATTTTGTGAAACGAGCATTTTTGGTTATGTGTGATATGTTGCATGAGTTCGCAGGAGCCCATTGAGTGTGGTCGGAGGGTTGGTGTAGGCTATTGACGCTAGTGGTTAAGTTGGGACACCTATTTGGAAAATTTTGTGAAAATGTGTTAAAATGGGTTTTGGTGTCCAACTTTTAATAGAAAATGAATTTGAGTGTGAAATAAATGCCATTAGCTAGAGTTAGAAGAAAGCTCTGTGTAGACACCAAAACCACCCCAATCGAACGTCGGACAGAGATTTAGGATGCGTCAAAAATTCGCTCCCTGTGCTGTCAAATGACAGCTCTAATCTGTCAAATTTTGTGCAATGCGCCACAGCACATGGCGCCTCACACCGCGGCGCATGTGTCAAATTCTGTGTAAAAATTTGTTTTGAGTTTTAAAACTCATTTTTGGATCCTAATTGATTTCCAAGCTTCCGTTTTATTTTCAAAACATTGATTTGGAATCCTTAAAAC